GGAAAATTGTAATTTGAACCAATAATTACACAAATTATTAAGATAAATTAGTATAATTTTGTAAGTAAACCATTTAAAAATAAATTTGAATACATTTTCAAAATTATAGAAATGTAATAAATTTACCAAAATTTTCATAAAATTACATTTTTGAAAATTAAAGACAATTTAGTGTAATTTTAGAAATTTACCATGTGGTTGATACTCAGTATATCCTTTTGATCATTTTTGTTATCAAATTGAATATTGGATTGACAGGGAGTGGGTGCCTTGCCTTAAAACTGCCCAACATTGGGGACAAGGCGAGAAAATCATTCTTTATCCTTTATGACGAGTAGGTGCCTTGCCTTAAACTCACCCGACATTGAGGACAGGGTGGRGAAATTCGAGGATTCCTCGTCCCTAATAGGGAGTGAGTATCTTGCTCTAAACCCGCTTGACACTGGGGACAAGGCAAGGAAATTTGAGGATTCCCCGTCTCTAACAGGGAGTGGATGCCTTGCCTTGAACCTGCCTAACATTGGGGACGGGGCGAGGATGGGGTAGAGTGTCTTGACTATAGGGCAGGGGTGAAGTATCCCACCCCATGTCATTCCTATATAATTGTTAATTATTAGTTTTATTAATAAAAATATTAGTTTTTATAATTAGTTTTAGTATATTTGTTCATATTAAATTAATAATAATTATTTTCTATAAATCAATATTAAATAAAAAATATAATTATTAAAATTTTAAATATTAATAATAACTTTAAATACTTATAATTAATTAACAATAATTTCTGATTATTAATTTATCAATTAATTAATAATAAATAAAATTATATATATTGGCACGATGCAAAGAAAAAAATCACATGGAGATATCATTATTTCAATGGTCAAAAGGCCACGTCTCTCAAAACAAACACCCATCCCGCTATAATATATATTGATAGATGATAGATAGATAGATTGGCCTGAGACGTGATAACAAGTATATGTTCTTTTATATTTGTATAGGAAAGTTCCTTTGAGCTCAAATAAAGATATCGCTATAAAATGATTAAAAAATAATTCACATAAGATTCACAAAATAGTCCATATATTAAGTCACATGCTAAGGTTTCTTTTTGGCTGTAACGAAGCAGTGGGACCCATTTCTATGAGTCCCTTGATACGAAAGATGCCTTAAGTAAGGCCTAAATCTTATGTCTCCTGGAGGTGGAACTTTTTGCTTGATTTTTCTAATATGCACCCTTGTCGTACCTAAATTTCTTCTCTCATCGAGGTTGATTGATTGAAGAAGGTTTGGTTGGAATAAGAGAGCCTTGTAGTGATATGAGCTGTCTTACCTTCATTATTTCTTAGTGTTGTCGAGATCGGGAATCAGTGCCAACTTGAGTTTAATTAATCTATTTATCTATTTAAATTATTATTATTGAAATTTTTAAATTTAATTTATTGTATTTTTATTATAACTTATTGATTTATATTTATTAAAGATTAAATTTTTATTTGAGATTATATTATTTATTTACTAAGTTAATATATTTTTAGAATTTATTATATTTTTGTAATTTTTTCATTATCAATATATTTTTAATAATTGTATATTTTTGCTATAAATTTTTAATAATTATCGAAAATTAAACTATTGCTATTTATCARAGACGAGACTATTAATTTAGCTGAAATTATGAGTGTTCGTGAGTTTGTTTGGTTTGACCATAGGCTATTTGGCTAACCAAATTGACCTAGTTAGGTTGGGGAGTTAGTCAGTTGAAACTGATTGACCTTTTGTGAAAACCGACCCACTCAAGTTGTATTGGTTTGGGCCATTTTTTTGGTTTGATCAATCGATTCAAAAGATTTAAACTTAAAACTTAAATTTAATTTTAAAAATTATAATGCAATTTTTAAAAAATAAATTTAAAAAGTAGATTTATGATATAAAACATTTTAGACTAAGAAATAAGGAAAATTTTTCACTTTTCCATATTTTAAATTATATTTAAAATTAAAATATTAATATATATCCATGGTTAGGTCGTTTGATTTTGGTTGGTTTACAAATGGCCAAAGTGAAACTAATCCAATTTGGTCAAATTGGGAAATTTTTTAACCAAAGCCAACCTAAAATACTAGAAAACCGACTAACTTGGGTCAAGTTCATCGGGTTGGTCGGTTTCATCAATTTGATGAATAAACCTAACTAAAATTAATTATTGCTATTTTTATATTATAAAAAATTATTAAAAGTAGTAAATAAAATATGAATAATTATTAATTATTTAAAAAGTTAAAAATATAAAACAATTATATACTCTTATGTGTTTCTATTAGGGTCATTTACTAGACCCCACCTTATAATTTTATATATTTACTTAAACCTACCTTATAGTTTTCATTTTACTAAAACATCCCATATATTTTACAACTTATTTACTTATCAACCTTTCATTAAGGATGTTTATTTTCCATTAGGCCCATAAATTTTTATTCCAAAAATACCCTTAACACTTTTTGTACAGAAAACAAAATTGACCAAATATAACCAATAGAGTGGTTGCCCATGTATTATTAAGGGCAAAAATGATATTTTTATTTTTGTTTTATTTTGAATAAATTTATTTAACTGAACATTAGGGTCAATATTGTCATGTCACACCATTCAAAGTATCTTGCATGTAAGATTTAATCTAGGACCAAGAATGATTATTACATAAACTTCACAATGAAATATGAAAAGATGTCTATAAATCAGCATAAAAGAATAATAAATCATTTGAAAAAGATGAAACAAACTAGCAAAATATATGATCCAGATGTAACATCTAATAGAACAAACCAGCTTTACTTATTGTCCTATGTGGTGCTACATGTTTGAAATTCTAATCAAATATTATGTTTTGGGTTTCATGCTAAAATGTATTTCTCTGTTCCTACTTCTACCCCTAAGCATTATTAGTTTAAAAACTAAATTAAAAATGAAATTGGTCTCCTATTTGGTGGCGGGTCAATAGTTTAATCTTTAGGGTCAAATGTATCAACTTGTGAAATCATAATTCAATGAAAAATTACAAAAAGATAAAAAAAAAACATAAAACAATTAAAAATGAAATTTTGTATAAATTTGAGTACATCTTTAATATCATGTATTTATCATGTCAAAGAAAAATAAAAAATTAGAAAAAGAAATTATAGAAATTTTGGGAAACTCTAATACTTTATATTATTCATATTAAAGGAAAATAAGTGTAATAGACAAGAAATTGTTTTTATTGGTCATGAAAATAAAATACAAAATTTAAAATTAACACTATTGACAAGTCAACGGTTCAACTTTTGGGTTAAATATATCAACCTTTGATGTTGTAATTAAATAATAAAAATAAAAAAATATCAAGCACAAAATACAAGAAGATACAAAAATATTTAGAAAGAAGCATTTGAAAAAATATCATCATCATCATCATCTAATACTATCACGTGCAAAGCACATAAACATTTATTAGTAAATATTATATAAATATGCACACATACCGGCATGCATGATGCATATGAATCAATGGTTTTAAGTTTAAATGCAATAGTTTTTAATGTAACATAAGTATAATATTCCTAAAACACCGTAACTCTGTGCATTAAATATAACTACCCAATTGTAAGCTTAAAGAAGTAACAAGTAAGATTTTTTTTTTTTGTCAAAATTCAAAAGTAAAAATAAGTGAAGAAATCGAGAAAACCCAATCTTCAGGTTTTTGTTAGGTTGACCATCAACCTAACAAAAACCTTGTGGGCCCCACTAGTTAATGTCCTTGTTGCAGAGAGACGATTCTATGATTTTTTTTTTTTCAAGAACTATTATTTGCAAGATTGGATCTCCTAGAAGTAAAGAGAGCATTGGCATCCAACCACACGTCAGAAATATTTGACATACATCTATATTAAATTTATAGGAGAGATATTCCCAATGTTCAGTTGGATGTTGTGCTCTTAGAGTATTTGTACAGTTTTTGCTTTCAAGAAATCCCATTTTATTATTGCATATTGACATGTTTTTGAGAATTTTGGCATTTTAAGCCATGGAAAATTTGTTAGCTACATATTTTTAAAAATTTAAAAACATAAAGCATGCTGATTTTTTGCCTTGAACTTTCAAATAGAAAACACATTAAACAAGAATACATATTTGATCAATTCGTTTACTTATTGAATTTTTTTTGTTAGATCTACTCCTCACAGAGCGTATTCACAGCTACATCCTACCCTATATCGGGAACATCTCAATAATAAATAAAAGTATAGAAGATATTTCCGATATACGGCCAAGACATACCATGAAATCGGTGTGAGGCGCACTCTGTGAGTAGATCCGGACTCCCTTTACTTACCTTCCTTCTTATTGATATAGGAGATCGGCTTCGTCAGGACAAACCCGTGTCTACACCCTTCCAACCGTCTTTTACAATCTTGGGAATATCTTGTCACATAAACAGGGAAATATTCTCAATGTAAGGCTGTAAAGGCTGCACGGACTTTACCGAATTCTAGATATAGATGTGGACCATGCGGTGAAAAGATTAGCTGAACACGATGGCTATCTGTTTAGTGGGCCGTGGAACCACATTCATGCGATGGCGTGGTCGCGGGGGGTTTGTAGATGGTTGTTAGTAGGGAGTGACTAGGGACACATCACAGGGTGGGGATAGCGCGGACACTGGGCAGGTGAGGCCAGGCCATCAGATGCTCGGATTGGATTGGTCAGCAGATCCAAAGTCCCAGCATGTCCACACTCCATACTAAATTACTAATTAATGTGTGCCTCGTGTTGGTTTGACGCTACGCTATGCGGCTATGCCTTTCTCGGCCTTTTGGCGAAGGTCAAGTTGGTTTGACGCTCATATGGGGAGATCGGGTATTCGAGGAAAGTTTGGTAGGAACGTTAAGTTTATTTTTTTTGAAGGACCGTTAGGCAGGCTTCTGGAAAGATGGCGGGACGCAGTTAGAGTGCTCCAAAGTTTTGTTCGCCTCGTCTACTACCCAACAGTCAACTCCCAACTCTATTACCTCCTATTTATCATCACTTTTCCGATGGATTCCTTCGAGTCCTTGGAAACCCATTCTACAGAGCTAGTACATCAAATCCATCGGAGAAGCATTGAGATTCCTGCTTCCCTCAAGGCTGGAATCTCTCAGTCTCGGAACACTCAAGGGTAAGTCGACTAGACTTGAATAATCTGTCAGTGTTCATAGAAATCGTTGATATGTTTCACATATTTGTTTAATTTAATAGAACATCCTGCTTGCTGATATTGCAATGTGCTTAAGGCTTTAGTGAATTTTTTCTTGATTCAATCAAAATTGGTGTGGATTTCGTTTTGAAGTAATTTGTGCTTGACTTGGATTTAATTTGAGTTAGTAATGCTAGAACAGAACTGGAATCTAGTTATCACGCTTTATTTAGCTGATAATTGCATTTTGACTTGAATAGACGGGCAGGATTCGTGTGACTGACCACAAATAGTTGGAAATTGATATTAAGGCTTTCTTGAATTGAATTTAGTTGGGATTCAGTAAATCATTTCAGCAGTATGCTGTTACAGTTTAGGATAATCTGGGGTAAGAGATTCTTTAATTATATAGTTTAGTTGAATGCATCTAGTGCATCCGTGTGTGGCTTTAACAGAAATGCCTGTATGATGGTTTAGTCTAAGTGGTTTATTAAGAGATCGTGCAATAGATATGGACTTAAACAGGATATTAGATCATATTAAGAAAATGCAGTAAATTTTGAAAATGGATAGATGTGAAAATAAGTTGGTCCACTACATTTTTTCTTCTGTCCGAATGAACTATGCCAGTATTAGTTTCTTACATTCAAGTGATTGGTCATATGATAAGGAAAGTATATTTTGAAAATTACTGCACTTRTCCTAACCAACCACAAATAGTTAAGGCTTTATTGAGTTGTTCAGATGAACTTCTTGATTGCCAAGTCTGCCTAAAGTGAATATTAGAAAGAAGGTTTCATTTGGTTGAATAAATTGAATTTCAGTAGTGAGTTAAGGATGACTTAAGATAGCACCATTTATTTCTCTTATCTAATTCAGTGAGTCATTTCTACTGTCTACTTTTTACATTTAGAATAAACTAATTAAGAGTTTATTATTCTAAAAAGAGGATGCCCCACTTAGGGAGAGTGCAGACACTATATAAAGCAGAACTCTTATCTTTTATGTTCATTATCAATACCACTGCAATGCATGTGCCTTCCTGTGTGTGTGGTTTAATTTGAAGTGTAAGATCTATTAGTTACGACCTCTATAGGAATGCATAAAATGGGCAGGCTGCATATATAATTTATAATCTATGATAAGAAAATGTAGTAAATTCTTGAATGTTGAAAAAAAAAATCTAATAAGAAGGCTTGTATGATCTATTAATTTGAAATCGTCATGTGCAAGGCACATGCCATTCGAGTTTGAATGGCATGGTTTTAAACCATCCTATTAAAATATTACATCAACCCAAGTGTATTTTCACCAAGGCTTCTCAATAGTGAAAAGGCCGAGCTATATAGAAGACTCACATCTAACCATTCTCAACCATTGAACTGGTTGGCCTAACAATATCCTTATTCTAGCCTTGATTTTTAGTGGTCTAGTATCACTTGAGTCACCGTAAATAGAAGCTTGAGAAGCAAACGAGTCATGAAACCTATTCAATAAGTAACTTGTTACAAAAATATGTTTTAAATATTAACTGAAAAATTAGTCATATTGAGCCAAAATGAAATTGCTACCACTGGAGATCTGTTAAGAAAGACAGGACAGCTTCCTTCAATGCAACCTAAGCCAATTAAGATTTTGCCCTCACTATACAATGAGAGTAGATTGCAAAACAGGGGTAGTTCAGCCACAAAAAGTACCAGAAACATTAACAGCTCTTTTTCATATTAATTATTGCTCATAATGTATAATAATATATGATCAAATGAAATGCCTCCTTATTACCCCCCACAATAGAATGAAGTCAGACTAAAAAATGGGAGTATTTTTTGTCATAGTAAGTCCAGGAATTTAAAGGCCCATTCGCATTTTCTAAAGGGAGTGTAGATTTGAATGAATCTCACTAGTTTTTAATGTCTTACTCTTACATTCAGGAAAATGGTCATGTCAATGGACCTATTTTAAAAATTGATGGACTTCTATGCTAAATATTGGCTCCTTTTCTGGAATAACTAGATATTTTGACCTGATGCAGTGCTGAGGATGCTTGGTTGATGCTTGAGAACAAAATCTGGTTTTGTCTTGACATCGAACCTTAAAGCATTTATCATGGGTGATGAACTTGAGAAGCCGCTGCTTGCTCCTGAGAATTTCAACCGAGATGCAATTGACCTGGTAAGAAGTGTGTTAGGGACAGAAACAGCATCTACCAATTGAGAAGGGAAAAATATTTATCTATTGAGGGTTTCATCCATAGTATTCAAATTCTGTTGAACAATTTGATTGCAGGAGCGCTTACCTTTGGAAGAAGTTTTTGAGCAATTGAGAACATCAGCAGGAGGACTTTCATCAGAAGATGCAGAAGTCCGTTTAAAGATTTTTGGACCAAATAAGCTTGAAGAAAAGCCAGTACTTACAACAACTCTTATACTAAACCTTGAATTTTTGACTTTTTTATAGGTTTGAATCTTGACTTGTTACCCATTAACAAGAAACAAAACAAAAAAACATGGATATGGCATAACTTGCCAACTTGAGTTCAGAAAGATTACTGGAGTCAACTAGGGAGTCAAGGAATTTACTTTGGGAATCACGTTTCAGATTGGAATTTTATAATTTATGATTTTGTGACATTAAGTTCCAAATTCATAAGAAGACTTTACATTCATAAATGTATAACTTCCAATGGCTTGTGTTGGTAGTTAAAAATCCAATATAAAATGGGATACATGGATGACATGGATAGGGAAAGTGAACTTGTAGCCAATATGGAGGATCCCCAACTTTATGGATGGTTTAGATTGGCTGCAGGTTCTTTTAAGTATCAGAAATATTTGGGATCATCTAGAGAACCTACTTAGTTGACCCGATTAGGGGACCTTTCTTCTTATTATTTATTTAAGATGCCATAGAAAATATGCAGAACAAAAAATGTATAATTATTTTATTAAGAACCTAGTATACGTACTTTTTGTTTTAAGGTTCAAATCAAAATTATTGACATCAGTAATGGATAGGAGAAATTGAAAATTGACTGGAATGAGTCAAACGACTCAGCCAGGAGTGAAAGGAGATATTGAAGTTAATCACTTGACTTAGAAGAGTCACAAGCATTGGGAGTAATCTCTACCAAACAAAAAGCATTGGGAGTTACCACCATGACATGGCTCCCTATTCCTGAGCCTGAGAGTAGAGCCAACTCAAAGGAGTCATGGAGTCAACCTAGGAGTCACAGGCTATGGATTTTGTAGATAAGTTCGTAAGAAAGATTCAAGTTGCACACTTTATGTTAATTTGTAGCTGATATTGGTGATATTGGTAATTAATGACAATTTCAGAAAGAGACAGTTAGATAAATAATTGAAATTTTAGAATGATAAAGTTGGAATTTGTCAACAAATATCTGAGAGGGTATATATTTACCTGAAAAGTAGGCCTTGTGAGATGATTCCTCTAACCACTCATCCATTCAAAAAGCATAAATAAAAGTGCCCCTTTTTCACTTTCGGTAAAGCATTTACAGTACCTGCACCAAGAGTTAAAAGAAAAAGAAAAGAATAGAGAAAAGATAGAACTAGATCATGTCAACATCTAGTTGATTGGGTTATTCAATTTAGTTTATAGATCACTTGGCTCTCTTATCAAATCAATGTTTAATTCAAATTAACTTGAAAGTAGATTGAACTCAGCCAAATCAACGACTTCCTAAAAATTCAAGGAGCAAGAGATGCCCATATTGAACCTGCTCAAGTACCTCAGTACCTTCATTTTTATTTCAACAAAAATAAGATTTAGCAGATGATTCATCACTTACCGTCACATACCACATGCTTCTGAGTGCAGGAGAACAAATTCTTGAAATTTCTTAGTTTTATGTGGAATCCCTTGTCATGGGTTATGGAAGCTGCAGCAGTGATGGCAATTGTCCTTGCCAATGGTGGAGTAAGTTGAAAAAGCCCTTGCATGCTTGATCCCTTCATTCTCTTGGATGTGGATTACACATGATATTCAGAGTTTAAGAAAATTGTTATTCTTTTATTTCTTTTTCTTTATTAGTAACCCTAGTTTATATAATATTTCAGGGGCAGGGTCCTGATTGGCAGGACTTTGTGGGGATTATCTGTCTATTGATCATCAACTCAACAATTAGTTTTATAGAGGAAAATAATGCCGGTAATGCAGCAGCAGCACTCATGGCACGTTTAGCTCCAAAAACAAAGGTTGGTTTCCGAGCATTAAAATACCTGTATAATGAAGCTTTAGCTCAAGAGTCCATCTTTTGGTCTTTTATCTTAGGATTTGGGTGGAGTTGGTTGGGGGGAACATGTTTGGTGGGGTCTTTATCGAGTATGTTGTATTTTTGTTGAAATCTTTGTTGCTTGTTGCGTTTGTGGTTTAGCTATTGGTGGTTTCTGCTCTGGTTATTCTGAGCATTGGGATCTTCTTTTTGTATGGCAGTTGTTGCATAGGGAGGAGCTGTGTAGTATATGTTATGTTTGTTTGGCATCTCCTGCTTGGTCTTTTTCTTTCTTCTCTTTTGTGTAGGCTCATTGCCTTTATATTGCTTCTGTACCTCCCTTTAAAATATTTGGTATTTCCTACCAAAAGAAGGTTTACCATGCACAGTTTCCCTTCCTTTCTTTTTTTTCCTTTTTCTCTGGAAGCCTTTCTTCTTTTCAGAATTTATGACATATGATCCCCTTTCTGAATGACTGTCTATAATGTAGGTCCTTAGAGATAGACAGTGGCAAGAAAAAGATGCTGCTATTCTAGTACCAGGAGATATAATCAGCATAAAGCTTGGTGATATCATCCCTGCAGATGCTCGCCTGCTTGAGGGGGACCCACTAAAAATTGACCAGGCAAATGCTTTTGAACATTATCAAGAAGATCAATTTTCTTCCATCTTGAACTTTCAGATTTTTTATTATTAGTTTAGTGTTTCTTTCTAAACATTATAAAATTTGTTATATAGCTAATTAGCTTTGCATAACCATTCTATTGGCACTTCTAAAAATCCATCTTTCCTTGTGCAGTCAGCTCTTACTGGAGAATCTCTTCCTGTCACAAAGAGGACAGGAGATGAAGTCTTTTCTGGTTCAACATGTAAGCATGGAGAAATTGAAGCTGTTGTGATATCCACTGGAGTTCATACTTTCTTTGGGAAGGCAGCACATTTAGTTGATTCCACTGAAGTTGTTGGGCATTTCCAAAAGGTGATCATGGAGTTTCTTTATTCCTAAGTCTAGAACGCCTCCTTTAAATTCAAGTCTTCCCTTGAAATATTTACTGAAATAAGGAAAAGGGATCTTGTTATCTGTAAAGAAATCCCCTAAAGATGCCTATCAAAAAAACCCTTAAGATGTCTGAAGATTAATTACTTCAGGGAATTCTTTTTCATCATCCAACATCAATTTCTGTCTTACCATTTTAATTCAGTCATAAATGTGTGTTTGTCTATATGCTTGCCTTTTTGTGTTTGTGTGTGTGTGTGTATTCTTGTGTAATTGATGGCATATCTTTCTTCAGGTCCTTACTTCCATCGGGAACTTCTGTATTTGCTCAATAGCTGTGGGAATGATTCTTGAAATCATTGTCATGTTTCCTATACAACAACGTTCATATAGAGATGGTATTAATAACCTTCTTGTTCTCTTAATTGGTGGAATACCCATAGCGATGCCCACTGTATTATCTGTTACACTTGCAATTGGTTCCCATCGACTCTCTCAACAGGTATTTCCTTCAGACTTATGATATGCAAATATCACCATCAATTTTATGCTCACGAAAAATATATCATTTACTTGACCCCCATGCAAGAGAATGGGATCAATAAGAATGTATGCCTAGAGCAACAACTGCATTGAATGATCCTAAACAATCTAAGTCATGGAGGATCCCTCCTGGAAGGATCATTGCCAGAAAGAAAGAAGATCCTAGCACTGGGTAATTAGATTCATCTGTTCTGGACTGGTTACTGGCCATGATTAATCCAAATGATCCTTCATCAACTGAATTATCCTTACCTTATCTATCTGTGCCATGTGGATAGCAGATTGAAGAGACTAAAGCACGACTTTTCTTCTGCTTTGTTGGAAAATAAAACATTCATTCATTTGCATTTTTAACTTTGTTGTCCCAAAGGGTGCTATAACAAAGCGGATGACTGCAATTGAAGAAATGGCTGGAATGGATGTCCTCTGCAGTGATAAAACTGGAACTCTTACTCTGAATCGCCTCACTGTTGATCGAAACCTCATTGAGGTATAATCAGTAACATCTGACAGCTCCTTTGTTCCATGTAGAAATGAAATAATTAGATAAAAAAAATCTTATGTTATCTGTGGATCATGTTCTTTTTTTTTTTTTTTTTGCAAATTTGATCAATTCTTAACCCACCCATTAAAATAAAATTTGGCCAGCTATGTCTATAGCAATCTTATTAAAGGATAGATATTTGTTAGAGTAATTCAAGATGTTTTTAAATGTCTATATGATCTCCGTTTCTCTACAAGTGTTTCCTGTCAGATACTTCCATCTCTACATAATGATGAAGTAACATACCAAAACATATCGTGAATTTATATTTTATAATAAAATTAAAAACAATATCTGTTTTGGCAATATATGTAACATGGAAAAGTAAGCTAATATCTCACAAGAAGTCCAAGAAACATTCTTTGAAGATCCATAGGTAATTAGAGAGTGAGTGTAATGGTGGAACAGCATGTACAATTGAATTTTCTAATTAGCACCAAGTAGTACATTATGTCTGTGTTGGGGATGGAATTTTTTTTGCTCTATAATTTTTTACATAGTATTGGAATTGTAAAAATGTTACCTGCATTTATTTTTATATGGTATACCTATATTTAATACTGGCACAGTAGCTGGTTCTTGGTTCCTCAGGCATGCGTTTCAGAATGGAGTAGTTGGTTTGACTTTTTTTCTATCTTATCTCAAATAGGTTACAGTATTTGTAGCATAGTGATCTTGGTTGCATAACTATGTCTCTTTTATCATTACCTAAAGCATAATGCATGATTTATGCTATTTAAAAATTTTCAGTTGTTCCTGAAATTTGTATAATAGAGTCAACTTTTTCTATAGTTTGTATTAGATGTTTCCGTCTTTGTCAACATCTGAAATGAAATATAAAACCTTTTTGGATAAAATGATAGGTATTTTTTATGTCAATTTACTGGTTCTATTGGAGTTATCCTTGTTGGAGAATGTACGCATACAAACATCTGAATTTTTCAATGGTAGGCAGTGCCATAAACAGATTAGATAAGTAAAAATCAAAAGATACTTAAATGGTCTTATTTGAGCAACAGAAAGTTTAGGAAATATAAAGCTTGAGAGTCTTTTAAATTAGGGCTTCATATCCAACTAATAGCAGTCTATCTGATAACCTGAGATGTTCTTGAAAAGCTTGCAACAAAGCAAGGTGATGTGATTCTCTCCATACAGTTCCTACACTATAAATAGCACCTAATGTGGAGCAAGGAGGCATTCTAGAATTAAGTTTGAGGTATATTGAGTGTTTTTAGTCTCTTTGAGGGTTGAATAACTCTTCTTTGAGAGTTTTGTGATTCCTATCAATAGGTTGAGAGAGTCCCCATATATTGAGTGTTTTTAGTCTCTTTCTTGTATGTTTGTTTTCTTTCTTTTATCATTTTAACATCTAAATTATCATTAACAAAATTCTTCCTTTGCTCCCGATTTGGTTGTTTTTCTTATGTTGAAAATTTTTCCTGCATCATGTATTCCAATCCTGAGGTTAGACAAGTCGGATGTAGTATTAAGGGTCCAATTGCCAGGAAATTACATCCAACTGTTGGTGTGCAGTCCTGGTTTGGGTTTAGCAGTTGTTCTGAGCAAATACTTTTATATATTATTCAATGTTCTGTTTACAGTAGTAAATATTTGGCAGTTGGGATGTTATATAGGGATGCTTATCTGGAAAAAATAGATAATGTATTTTATTGACAAGATATTCTGGAAGTGCATGTACATCACTCTTCTCAAATTATTCATACTATAAAACTAGAAAACCATGATATGAATATGTCCTTTTACTCTTAGTGGTGATGTATTACTGCCAATTGGTTTCCACTAAGTAGAAAGAGGCCAGTATATCATAGTTCTAGATTTTTATGACGTGGTTTGAAACTTGTGAGTTTCTAGACAGAGATCTCTAAGATGAAATCAAATACTCGTGCTTTATTACTTCTATTAAAGATGTTATGAATCTAATAACTCAAAATATGTCCTTTGTAGGTCTTTAATAAAGACATGGACAAAGACACTGTTATCTTGCTTGCAGCAAGAGCTTCAAGAATTGAAAACCAAGATGCTATTGATACAGCCATAGTTAGCATGCTTTCTGATCCTAAGGAGGTAAAAGAGAGAGGGAGGGGAGAATAATGACAACCATGGAATTGCTTTGTTTTATAATTTTCCATTGACTAGGTTTTATTAGAACAAAAGATTGAAAATATTAAGTTGTAATTTCCCTACAGGCACGGGCAAACATTACAGAAGTCCATTTTCTTCCTTTCAATCCTGTGGATAAGAGGACAGCAATTACATACATTGATTCTGATGGTAACTGGCATCGAGCTAGCAAAGGGGCTCCTGAACAGGTATTTGGACATTTAATCAGCACTAACCCTCTTTCCCTTTGTATGTATGTGTTTAGATGGATGATTATGTATCAGTAGTAGTAAACATATGTATTAAAGATAGATAAAAAAAGAAATGGTATACAATATACATGCAAAAGGGAAAATGTTGAGGAAAAGTTAAAAGGCCACTCAATCCCCCCCCCTCCCCAAGAAAAGGCTTTAGCCTTAGATATGAGACTAACCCAAATAGAACACCAACAAAGACCAATAGCTCCAAAACATCCTTCAACCATGAAAAACTCCCAGCTGGTCGGGGACACTAAAATCACTTCCCAGTTAATCAACCAACTCTTCTAGACACAGAGACAACTATTGCCTAAGTAATGAGCATTTGAGTGACCCTTTTAAGATCCCTACCTCTTCCTCTCAATGTTCTACCTCTTGGTCTTCTTGTTCAGTCTCCTTCTTTTCCTTGCCCATTGAATCTTCCAAAATGAGAAAAAGGGATGGAAAACAAACTAATATTATCATCTGATGAACTTGTTCTATTAGTATAGACTATAGGAGATTATTAACATTAAAAAATGAGAAAATGGGATGGAAAATAGATTATAAAAGATAAAATAGAGATTCCTTCTGGTTGTACAACTAATGATGCCACTTGCATCATTGTAAGTTGGAAACCATTACCAACGTATCTGTGATATGATTGATTACAACAAAATCTTCCATGATTTGTTATCTTTTCTGGTATTCAACTAATTAATTGGCACAACTTATATAAAGCAAACTGTTAGAGTTAGCCGAATAAGGGTAGATTAGTCAACTCACCTTGGTTAAGTTATGAGCTTATGTGGCAGTCTTATTAGAGGTTCTCTGTCCCATACTTAAGTAGGGGCAGTTTAGTCCTTGTACATTTAATTAGAAGCCTAATCACTATTAAGAGGTCGACTGATAGGGTTTAGCTATCAGGTTCGACAGTTCTTTCATCTTCTTCTTCTCTTCTTCTTCTTCTTCTCCTTCTCTTTCTTCTTCTCCTTACTGGTTCGAACTACTGTAGCTACAGTAGAAACACAAACCTTTGATACCATTAAAAAATGTTGTATATTCTACTTTATCAAAGCCCTTGATGCCAATCCATCTTGAATATGTTCGAGGTTTGTCTTCGATTTGACTTGCCCAAGTGTATCATGTTTTTTAGATTTTTTATGAATCAATAATTGTCTTTGGTTACGACATTTTTCTATTGATTGGTCATTACAAAATGTTGCATATTCAACTTAAATTCCTTTTGTTTTTAACTCAGATTCTAAGTCTATGCAAAGAAAAGGAAGAGATTGCTCGAAAAGTGCATTCAATTATTGACAAATTTGCAGAAAGGGGGTTGCGGTCTCTTGCAATTGCTTCTCAGGTATGGACGAAACCAGTCCCCCCCCCCCCACACACACACACATGAGGCTTCTGTTGGGTTCACTGGGATTGAATTTTAAATCCATAGCCAGAACCTCAAATAAGGGTGTGCAGTATCTAAGCCAAATGAGTTGTGGGTTAATTTCAGGATGGACAATAAAAAAATCAAAATTATAATAAATAATTCCAGTTCCAAAAGAAGGTATTATCTATTTAATAATTCTGTTGTCTTGATCAAACACCTATGGAATTATAAATTATTGCTAAAAATTGAAGTTTCAAGAAAAAGATGATTATCCTGTGAACCTTATCAAAAAAAAAAAAAAAACTCAGGAGTTGGATAAACTAATCATAATATGAAAGTATGATTCACATATCAAATCATTAGAAATTTGTGGATGACAAGTTCTTTGATTGTTTTAACCACCTTTCCAGGAAATTCCTGAAAAGACGAAAGAGAGCCCTGGAGGTCCATGGACATTTTGTGGGCTATTGCCATTGTTTGATCCGCCTAGACATGACAGTGCAGAAACCATTCGCAAAGCACTTAACTTGGGGGTCTGTGTCAAGATGATTACAGGTACTTATGAAATTTACTTAGATAATAGCAAGCCAAAATTTATCTAATTCCTATCATTTTTTTATCAATAACTATGAAGTTTCATTGATGGAAAAAAGGAGTGAATATAATTAAATAAAAAAAAGAAATAATGATAAACCCTCTTATCTCTCCCCAAAGAACTCTTTCTTCTTTTTACAATTGTGCCCAGAATGATTGATCATTTCCCACTCCTTGTTTAGCTAAAGCATCAGACAGTGAATTTGCACATCTTTTAACCAATTGCAACCTCACTTCCATATCTTGTGTCAACCATTTGAGTTTCTTTCTTTAATTGTTGTAGCTTCACAAGATAGCCTCCTTACTTTGAAACCAACCCACAACCAACTTGGAGTCTCCTTCAATGATCGATTTTCTAATATTCATGTTGTTGAAATTACTATCTAATTCCTATCCCTAATTTGTTGAAATTACTTTTTACCAATCTAAAGGTTCTTTCTTTTCAAGCTTACCTCCATTTGTTAGAGAATTTGGAGGGCACAAGATGACTGAATAATACAAAATAAAAAGAAGAAATTGAATGTTTTGGACCCAGTTGTATTTTACCTTGTTCGTTAGCCTAAACTTTTGATAAAGGTCTAATCCTTGAAATTTTCTGAAGTAACCCAGAATTACTACATCATCCAAGCCTAAATTCATTAAAATAATGAAAATAAAATAAGAAAAACAACTAAAAGGATCATTTGACTGAAAGTTTCCCTTCTGTAGATAGCAGGTGAAAATGGCATTTCCTCTTCAAACTAATCCTCTCTTGCCTCCTCAATTTCTACCTCTTCTTGAGTTATTCCATTAAATAAAAAAAGAATCCTAAACATTTATCAACTATCTAACTTTCAAACAAATAAAATAAAACATCCCTAGAAAAATTTTCAGGCTCCAAGGGTTTGGTCAATGTCCAATCTACCAAGACCCTAGATAGCCAGGATCATCATTGAGTAATGACCCCTCTTTTAAATATAATTCAGCTAAGCCTGATAGAAAAAAATATATGTATGGTTCATATAAGAAACCCAACGTACATATTATTTTTCTTATAATTAATCATCATCTAAGCTTTGTCCCAACTATATGGAGTCAGCTACATGAATCCTGTTCTGCCATTCCATTCTGTTCAGTGCCATATCATAAAAATGGCAACCCAACCCAGCCTAGTGCTATTCTGTTCAGTGTCATAGCCATTTTTAAATTGTGAGCCTTTAAATCACTTTTACTAGTTCAACCCATGTCCTTTTTGGCCTACTCCTAGCTTTTCTATCCCATTCAACTTGTAACAAATCACTTGGTCCTACTAGTGCTGTAGATGGTTATCTCTGCACTTGACCAAACCATCTTAGTCTACTTTCCATCATTTTATCACCTATTGGAGCTACTCCTAAGTTTCTTCAAATAAGTTAATTTCTGATCCTGTCCTTCCTAGCTTTCCTACTCATCCATCTCAACATTCGCATTCTAGCCACACTCATTTTTTGGACATGTTTCTTGACTGCCCAAACTACTCCATACAACAGTCTTTCCTTACAACTGCTTTATAAAATTCTCCTTTCATCCTAAGTGGTRTTCTCCTATAACATAAGACTCTAGATGCACCTCTCCATTTTTCCTATCTTATTAGGCAACATCCTCCTTAATCTCTCTCTTGTTATGGATTATCAAACCAAGGTAACAAAAGATTCACATTAAGCTTATCTCTTGGTCTCCAATCCTAACATACCTTGATTTCGACTCCTATTGTGATTTAATTTATATATTTTTTTTAAATTTAAATATCCCAATGAAGATAGTATGATTTGATGTTCTTCTCTTGCCTTCACTTTCTTTCACCTCTTTTGACAGCCATAGTTCCTATGTATTTTATTTATTTATTTTTATGATAGAGGAAGAAGTTAGTGCAAAGAGAAATTCATACTTCTTCACCTATTTAACTGCTACCCACCACTCAAACAGCCTTTGAACTTCATATGAATCAAGAACTTCTTTCTAGTAGTTTTGTTATTTTTCTGATTACATGAAAATCTGGTTAGTGGCATGGATTTGTTGCCATATAGTCCAAAAATAACTGGTCTTACCTTAATTGTGTATATCATTTGAAAGAGAGAGAAATTTTCTGATCTCCCACACACACATGAACCCATGTTCTCACCTTTTCAGCCTGAGAATTTACCATTACACAAAGCAATAGCCTTTTCTATGCATATATGCATTAGTTTATGTATACAAATTGTATCCTTTTGAAGTAAAAGTTCTTAGATAAAGATTTTTCTATGGCCCCATATTTGGCAGGATATTTTTCACGAATAGAACTTCAAAGAAATTTCCTAAATGCAAAGGTTCAATGAGGATTTTTTTATAACTGTCCAATTTTGTTAATAATGAGAAAGAATAATTATGTACATCAAAGTGCAACAATCCCTTATTTTTCAGGCTAGCATCTGCTACCTAGTACCATCTTATATCATTTTCCAACAATGATTACAAGGTAAAGTCTCATATGCATCAATACCTAGGATATTGTGTACAATATGTAAATCTTGGCACTAAAAAAATTAAAACCAATTCTCCTTATGTTAAAATAGGTGATCAATTGGCAATTGCAAAGGAGACAGGCCGACGTCTTGGCATGGGAACAAATATGTATCCCTCTTCATCATTGTTGGGCCGTGATAGAGATGAAAATGAAGCTCTTCCTGTGGATGAGCTCATTGAAAAAGCTGATGGATTTGCTGGTGTATTTCCTGGTATAACCCTTGATACCTGTTTCTTGAGAGTTAATTTTATAATATTTTGCATGTTAATGGATGTGTATTTGTATTTTATATTCTCTTCTATTTATTTTTTTAGAGTGATGAATTCTAATGAAAAGAGGCAATTACCCAAATTTGTTTCTCAAGGTTTGTATAGGTTTCCCTACCTTTCCTTTCCTTTCCCTACCTTCTCTTTCAAACCAAACACATCCCAAAAAATTAATTAGGATGGAAGAAACAACAAATATTACTCTTGCTCCCTTCTTTGGCCACCATGTTGGCTACCTTTTTTATTGCCTTCTAATACATAGATATTCAAAAACACAAAACGTGGTTATTGATAAAAAAAACATACAAAATTCGGTTGATAATGAACATAACATCCAAGTCAATGATCCCTTTCCCTGCCACTTACCAGATCACATTACGTGATTTTCCTTTCATTGTCATTACACAGCATGCTTCAGAAATATTTCATCCTCCATCAGTGGGCTTTTTGCTACCAATGGAGTGCAAAAATTTCCACTTTCATTCTATTTCTTCTCATCTTTATGGTTACTATGTTCTGAAGCAACCTAGTTTTACAATTTGCACTACCACCAACATTTTACTTTTTTAGCTCCCACCAGAACTTTCTCCACTGGATGTAATCTTAATTCACAAGTTCTAGCAATACCCAGAAATTGAAAATCTTGGAGTTGGTCTCCATAGAACCCTTTTCAGAAAGTAGTAGAAGCAAACATTCAATAATGAAGGTTTTAAATCACAGATAATTGTTATGACTCATCTCATAATGGTTAGCATTATAAAGTAATTTTGTGAAACTCAAATGCCTATATAAATAGAATGCAATTTTTGTTATCTTTGAATCATCTTGATTTCTGCATTCTTTCCATCTTCTTTATTATCCTATTACTAATTATGTTAGTTGTGTCTATGCACTTTCAGAACACAAGTATGAAATTGTGAAAATCCTTCAAGAAAAGAAGCACATTTGTGGGATGACTGGAGATGGTGTGAATGATGCACCTGCTTTAAAGAAGGCAGATATTGGAATAGCAGTATCAGATGCTACTGATGCTGCAAGGAGTGCTGCTGATTTAGTCTTAACTGAACCTGGTTTAAGTGTCATCGTCAGTGCTGTCCTGACAAGCCGGGCTATATTCCAGAGAATGAAGAACTATACGGTTAAGTATTGTTTTGTTATTATGATGACAATACTAATGGAATTTTTAATATTTCTGGGTCTCTAACATTCACATTGTGGATGTATAGTAGAGTTCTACCTATGCATTCAATCAGATACACTTACTAAGATCCACCTCATTTGATGAACAGTCACATATGGCCTCTTCTCCTCACCCCTTCCCAAAAAAGAGGAAATAAGAAATAGAATCTTACAGGAACCCAAAAATTGCACAAAAGGTTTTTACTATTTCTTGAGTTTTGGGATGGAAATATTCTAGAAACATGTCACTTTAATGTTCCATATCAATAAGCAAGTGTGGCACTTCAGAGAACCCATAATATGATGCTTAAAATGAAGGGTCATTACCCAATGCTGGTCCCCGCTATTCATGGTCTGGGAAAGGGTGGGCTGGATATGGACCTAATTAACCTTTTGCATTTTCTTACATAGGTGTCTGCTCTCATACTTGAAATTCACACTTGTCAGCCCAAGATTTTACCATTGCACCAAGCAATGGACCCTGTAATCTAAAAGGCCAAGGGCTATTACCCAATGCTGATCCAAAATTTCCATGGTCTTGGAGGGGTGAACCAGATATGGACCCAACCTTTGGCAGTTTTTGCATATTTGTTTCTTTTCTCAGACTTGAGCCAACATTCTTATGATTGTCAGCCCAAGATTTTACCGTTGCACCAAAAATGAACCTATGATGCATATAATACAATGAAGTAGTATACCCTTTTGTACTCTTTTTTTTATATTTCCAGTTTCTATAAATATTATGAAATGATATTGATTATCCTACATGAATTTGCAGATTTATGCCGTTTCCATAACCATTAGAATTGTGGTATGCTGGTTTTTACATGTTCCCCATTTTGTTATTCTTCTATTTTTGTGTTGTGATTACCATTAGTTCACCCGCCTTCTTTTCCTGTTGCAGCTTGGTTTTGTGCTCCTTGCATTGATCTGGGAGTATGATTTTCCACCCTTCATGGTTCTAATTATAGCAATACTGAATGATGGTAATGCATCTTCACAAGTTTAGTCGTTTATTCCTTTAGTTCTTTTCCTTTGTAAAGATTGAAATGCTGAGAATAGTATGCTTCACTAAAAATATTCCATTTAATCTAGGAGGTAGAATTCTAAAGTGCTAGTTTTCCATGTTGAGTTCAATGGTAGGCCTTCATTTTGCTCCATCTTTACATCATACAAATGAAAATGTGGTCATTATTTTGCTCCTTTCCTCTCTCTTGTAGTTATAGTGTAGTCCTTACTATCTTTTGCATTGCCCATCAATAGAAAGCTACTGAATATGTTCAATCACATTGCTGCACTACTGTTTATAAATCACAGGTGATGGTTGTGCACATATTGTGGTCAGAGATTTCAATTCTTGCTTAATTGATATAATTTGCTATAGTCATTTTGCCTTATGAAGTTTTATTCATATTCTATAAATGCAATGCGTGAAAAAAATGATGTCTTCTCTTTTGGCATACAAACTAAGACACCAATTATCAGAAGCTTGAGACCAATCATATTGCATAGTTAGAAACCACAGATCATGAAGAAGCCAAAATAAAAGTGGTGGTTTCTGCTGGCACTACAACTTAGAGCCAGAATAATTACATAAGGAGAAAAAAGAAAACTTTAATTATTTGCTCTTTACATAAGAATCCAAAACAAAAGTGGTGGCTTCTCACTCTTTAAGACATTTCCTTGTTGTACTAACACTAAAATTTAAATTTATACATTTAGGGAAGAATATTTTTTAGACAACAGGGGAAATTCAATTATACCATGATTATGCACTAATTTTCAAATGATTTGTCTTGAGTACCAAGCTTAGAATTATATTACATGATCATCATACATGGTTGAGATTCAGGCACTGAACACCTAATCTTAATTGACCTATATCCAAATTGAGTTAGATTTGCTTTCACCTAAAAAAATGCCCCTTACTATTTTTTTTTTTCCAAACAGGGACTATCATGACTATTTCAAAAGACCGGGTGAAGCCTTCTCCCAGACCAGACAGTTGGAAACTCAATGAGATTTTTGCAACAGGCATTGTCATAGGAACTTACCTTGCGTTAGTTACTGTCTTATTTTTCTGGGCTGTAAAAAGCACCACTTTCTTTGAGGTACCACAAATATGGAACAAGTTTATTGGTTTTGTTTCTTGAGATGCTGCGAAGAAAATTCTAATAAATAACTTGCGTATTTTCCTATTCCTTATTTAAACTCATGAAAATTCATATATTTGGTGGCAGACCCACTTTCATGTGAGGTCCCTAAGCAGCAGTACCGAAGAGATCTCCTCTGCTGTATATCTGCAAGTCAGCATCATCAGCCAGGCTCTCATATTTGTTACTCGCAGTCAAAGTTGGTCTTTCATGGAGAGGCCTGGGACTCTCCTTATGTGTGCTTTTGTGGTGGCTCAACTGGTAAGTCTCTCATCGATTGGCCAAGTAGGCTCTACTCATGCAAAGAGCATAGCTTTTATATAGCTTCCTTCCTCCACTTTTTCCCATTTAAAATTTTTGGTTGTTGGAGCTTCCTGACTATTGTGTGTGTGTGTATGCACACACATAAACAGAATGGAGAAGCAAAGTATTAAAAGTATTACGTAATTCATTGTGTGCTGTAGATACATGGACGGCTCTAGATATCATCATCATCATCATTTTCCTTATCCGAAAAAAAAAATGATGTGGAATTTGTATAGTTAATTTATTATAATTGTCAAGGAATAGGCTTAGTYTGCTATATCAGGAGATTCAGGACGGAATTCACTAGCAGTTGATCCTTTTATTCACTTTGACAAGAAAATTTTGACTCATTTAATTAAATTTTTGTTTTCTTGGTTTGTAGGTTGCTACTTAGACTGTAGCCTACACAAATACCATCCTTGTAAGCAATGGAGAGCTGTGAATATAACCATCATCGTTCTCTATTATATCCCACATAGTGGCTGGGTAACTTACCAGGCTAGATTATTTTTTATACATTCAAGGGAATACGTCCACAGTAGTATATCACAGACTAGATTCCCTGGTTTTTATGTATTTTCATGGTGACAATATGCCAGAGAACCAAGCAGGTCTGATTTACTCCAGCTTTGTTATTTGTCCATGTAGGTTGCTACTCTAATTGCAGTCTATGCACACATCAACTTTGCTTCAATCCGTGGCATTGGATGGGGTTGGGCTGGTATCATATGGATATATAGTGTGATCTTCTACTTACCACTAGATATCATCAAATTCACTGTTCGTTATGCTTTGAGTGGAGAAGCCTGGGACTTGTTGTTTGAGAGAAAGGTCAGTTGCACAGTTTCACAGTCATCTGATAGTAATAAGATCCATCTTGCAACAATCCTTGATATTGGTTTTTATTTCTCAATTTCAACAGACGGCATTTACTTCTAAAAAGGACTATGGAAAGGAAGACAGGGAAGCCAAGTGGGTACTTTCTCAGAGAACACTAGAAGGGTTGATACCTTCAGAATTAGAGACCAATGGGCGGCGGTCTTCTTTGATTGCTGAACAGGCCAGACGCCGTGCTGAAATAGCCAGGTACAAGGAACTTTCACCCACTAGGTTGTTTTCCAAGTTTCATCTCATTATCCCAGAGTCTATTTCTTCATTTTTGCTGTCAATACCACTAGATTCACTAAAGAGCGTATAATGTATGTAATAATTTGTTGCTGTATGAGTTCTTAACTCTGAGAATATTATTGTTTTTCACAATATACCCAAAATTAGTTTCATTAGAATTATGAGCTCAGGTGTATCCACCTGATGTGATTTCCATAATGTTAACTTTAAGGAAACCTCAACTACTTCTTAGATGCTTCATAAAAGGGACAGGGAAAATAAAAGAAAAAAAAAGATGTCAAGGCTTGAGTCTGCAACATAGTTGAGTGGGCTACTGCATTGCAACTTTGAAATTCCAAATGTTAACTTTAAGGAAACCTCAACTACTTCTTAGATGCTTCATAAAAGGAACAGGGAAAATAAAAGAAAAAAATATGTCAAGGCTTGAGTCTGCAACATAGTTGAGTGGGCTACTGCACTGCAACTTTGAAATTCCAAATGTAAATACACAAGAAAAGATTTAATAGTAAGTACAAGAAGGAAAGATAACCCTTTTGTGGTTTTACTTTTACATTTACTTTAGTTGATATATTTTATTCAATTATAACTCTTAATTTTAGATGGAAGTATCAATGATTGGATGGTTAATGGAATAATCTCTTAACATTGCAGGTTGGGGGAGTCGCATACACTGAAAGGACATATGGAATCAGTTATGAGACTGAAGAATTTGGACATAAATACGATACGAACATCTCATACAATCTGAAGTCATGAAGATTTTATGGTTGGGGGAAAAGCTGTTTAGATTGTCCGGTGCAGATTTTGCAGAAAGTGGTCAATACCGATGGTAGAAATGCCTCCGGTGAAGATTACGATAATTGGAAAAAGAAAGAAAAAAAATAGTCTGACAATTGTCATCGATGAATTATAATAGAATGGTGTAGTGATTACACAGCTATGCTGTACAATTCTTTTGCTTCAACAAATTGTCGAGTGCAGTGGAGTTGGTTTTGTGCCGATAACACAATACTCTTTCGCTGTAGGCACGGGTACTTTTTCTCATTCAACATCTGCTACAATTTTTGTAGATGATTAGACATCTACTTTGAGAGTTGGCATTCCTTTTACTGTCCAAAAAAAATATGTTTGTAAGGTTTTAACATTTCAAAGAAATAAACTTTGCTATTTCTCCATTTTGGTGATTGAGATCGTTTCAAACTTTATAAGAAACTTGTCAGTGGTAAGTAGTAGCCCTCAGAGTCTCCTACCTAAAGCATATATGGTAGCCTGTTAAGATATTCAATTATTGGATGCGATAGATGAGGTGGCAGTAAAAAATGGATCAATGTTTTTTCTCCACATCATAGCTTGACATCTATCTATATATATTGGTCGATGAATTATGCATTTGATTTTCACGGCTGTCACCGTCCTCCAATTTAACCCAAAGAAAGTTCAGGAAAATAAGGTTCCGTTTGGTTTATGGGATGGGGATGAGAAAAAGGGAATATTTTGAGGGAAAGAGAGAAAATATTCCCTTTTCTCTCATTTGCTTTGAGGGAAAGAGAGAGATRGGATAAGAAAAGTGTGGGATGTCAGATCTCAAAATCATGGATTTGGGGTTATACCAAAACCGTGCAACCTCAGTGAGAAAACTCGAGTTTTCATTTCCCTCCTCCCGTAACAAAGAAGGAATCCACTAGTACGCCGCTGCCACTCTTGTCATTTCTGGTTCAGTGGTGGCAGAGTAGTGGAGACGAAAAACAAAAAAGAAAAATAAGCAAAAGAAGAAGAAGAAGAGAGAGAGAGAGAGATTAGAGACGGGACGAGCAGATCTACCGTTCTCATCAGAGATTAGAGATGGGATGCGCATATCTACTCATCACAGATTAGAGATGGAGCAAGAGAGAAAATGGAGGAAGAGGGGAAGAAGATCAGGGAGAGAGAGCGGGAGAGGGAAGCCAGAATTGGGTTCAGATCCGCTGCTTCTCTTCCTAGTCGCTACTCTGTTCAGTTGAGAGGAGGACGAGGGTGAATAATGTTCCTTCGTAAACTTCTCCCCCTTTTTACATTTTTCCACCCCTTCCCATCCCACCCAAATCTTCCCACAAACCAAACAGAAAAGGAAAACTTCATGTCAAGCTAAAACTTCCCGTTGGAAAATATATACATTATTCATAACTCTTTGAATTCATTGGTAAGATAACCAATAATGTTGGTACCATCAATTGTATAAATGACAATTGGTATTATGGAACTTAATCCTGCCCTAGCTTGAAGGGTGTAGCTTTACCCTTTTGCCATTAGTATCAAACATAAACACGGAGAATACAAAATAAGTAACAAAGAAGTCATGTGAGTTGGTCCAACACGTGCCGCAGCAAAATCTGATTGAATAGCTTCAGATGGAACCTTGTTGAATCTCCTTTACAAAATGAGAAAATAACATTCAACCGATGATTGATCAATTGATTGTAAAAAAGACAAGGAGATAGTGAGCAAGTGATTGTGTTTTTAGAATTAGCATTTGAGTTTTTTTTATGTAAAAAAATGTAATACATACATACCTTGATATTGGGGGTTTAGGGAGAGAGCAAGGAAGGCGTATAAGGACAAAGAATTGGATTGGAATTATACTACAAAAACATCCCTGGAGCTTCAAGAGGAAGATTAGTTAGAAATCATAAATGTAGCAAGCAACAATAAACTAAGAAAACAAACGATTGTGATAATAAACATCAAAAAATAAAAAGAAGATTGAACGAGTATTGCATACCTGATGGTTCAAATATGAAAGGGGGAACGTACATTGAATTCACCTGTTACAGAGTAACGTAMATTGGATTTAAGAAGCCGTGAAAGCCAACCGTAACTTGACTAAAAAATGTTTGAGAAACGACTACAGTCTACGGATGTTATCCGGAGTAGACAGATGTTAATTACTTGTAGTTATGACAACAACAAAATCTTCACGGCTTAGTAATGAATATCAAATTCAGGCGGACGAAATCAATGATTTGAGGCAGAAGTTTTCTTTCTCTCAGAGTAGAGTTATAGTTTGGTTTTTAGTGGATCGTGTTGAACACGTTGCAAAATCTTCCCATGAAGGAACCAAAAGCCGATTATTGCTCAGGGAGTATCCTTTAACCCGTTTAAAATCTCATAACTTGGTTGTGTTTAGTTACTGACTATTTGTTTTACTAGTTTGTCTAGATGTTTTTAGTTTGGTTACTGTTAAATTTAAGTATCTCGAATGGTTGGTCTCCTCTTTATAGTGATTTAAGTTACGGTCTTTTCAGCTTTTATTGTCTTGGCAGTCTCTTTTCTCCGCTTGTTTCTCTCTGTTGTTGTTTTGTTCCTCTTCCTTTTCTACATCATTTTTCTCTGTTCTTTCCTTTTCTGTTTCACAGCTAGTTTTCTTTCTCCTGTGCTTTCTCCTTGTCGTCATGGACAATATTGAAGCTCTTAATGCAGCCTTTCAGAATATGATGCAAGGGCAAGGATCTGGAAACCTAGAAGTAGTTAACATCCAATCTTTACTCCCGCTTAATGCTAACAATTCCTGGAATCTTTCTTTAATATGCCGTCTATTTCCTCATCTTACTAACCAATTTGATGAAGTGGTTCAAAGGCTCTATGATCTTTGGAATCTCAGTCCGGATCAATTACTTTTAGCTCCTTTCCATCGAGGTCATTTTCGTTTAAAGTTCTATTATGAAGAAGATTATACCAAAATACGCAACAATGGTCCCTGGACTTTAAACAGTTAATGGATTCTCATGCAGCCTTGGGCCCCAAGCAGACCCCGTATTCTTGGAATCTTCAACAAATTGAATTATGGGTTCAACTTCATGATTTGCCTTTTGAAACCCTATCTATTGATATTGGAAAACCTTTGTTCGAATGTCTAGGCCCTACTATGTTCATTTTTGTAGTTCAAAATTATATCCGAGCTAAAGTAACCATTTCGGTTGATAGACCTTTGAAAACTGGTTGTTTTGTTAGTATTCACCAATTGGTTACTTATGTAGGTCCTCTTTTCCGTCGATGCTCTCAGCCAATGCCCCATATCACTAATCTCTCTTATGATCAGTTCTTTAACCGACGGACTATGAATCATCCAAGAACATGGTTGAGAGTTGAACAAACTCTCTGACGTACTTGGAAAAGACCTCAGTTCAGTGACTTTATTAATCTTCCATCTACTTCGCCTTTCCCTCCCACTAACCTTAATGGTGAAGCAACTCTTGAGCAACCTTCTGATTTTGTATCTTCCATACCTCGACATGTTTCATCATATAATCAACCTCCAAATCCTTTAGTTGTGGCGTCTTTGTCAAATCCCCCCTCTGTCTGAATCTCTGCTGAAACATTTCACCTAGCAGAAAATACACAATCTTTACTTAATCGGGGTCCAAGGGAAAAGACCTCGTGTGGACCTTTTGTTAGGTCTTCAAATCGAGTTTGAATCCAACCTTATCCTTGCTTATGATCAACTCGAGGTGTCAAAACCATCCTCCTCAACTAAACGTCTTACTATAGTGGATGCAACGTATCGTGACTCGAACTCTGATCCTGATCATCAGCTCTCGGTAAGGGTATCATTTTTCTTGTTCCTTTGTTTTGTTTCTCTATGGGTGGAGGTGACTGGCCCTAATCAGCCCCACCCATATCCATGTTAATAATGAGTTGGAACTGCCGAGGGGCTTCGTGCCCCAAGGCAGTTCAAGGTTTGAGGGATTTTGTCTCTCGTTTTAATTCCGATGTTATTTTCTTTGTGAAACAAAAATCCCTGAAGTTAAATTAGATACTTTAATAAATACTCTTACATACCCTAACTCTTTCATAATCAATCCTGAAAGTCGAGCAGGGGGATTAGCAGTATTATGGAAAGCGGGTTTATGAGCTTCTGTTTTTTTGTCACACTCTAGGTTTTTTTTTTTTTTTTTGAAAATGCAATCAAATTTTTATTATTGGCTGTTAGGTTTTATTTATGGCCCATCAATTAAGCACCATAGGAATACCTTTTGGGCAAATTCAAATGCTCCCATACAAACAATTGCTATCTCTTTTGTTTTAATAGGCAATTTTAATGAAGTTGCTTCTCTAGACTCCCTAGATCCTTTCCTCTTCATCTTCTAACATAACTCATTTAACCTCAACTCAATACAGAAATTTAATTTTAAATCATAATCTTCTATAATTAAATCTTCAAGGCGATGGAATTTCTTGATCAAACAAAAGAACAGTGGGTCATATTCATAGGACTTTAGATAGAGAAAATTTGTCTCCAGACTAGTTACAGTTATTTCTAAATGATTTTTTTTATCTCTAGGTTCAAAATGGGGTTCTGACCATCACCATTTGTTTCTAAATCTCCATCCATAGACTCAAAATCTACCTAAACCTTTTAGATTCTTTGAGATGTGGTTAGCAGAGTCCTCTTGCAAACAAGCTATGGAGGAAGGCTAGAACTGTCAAATCAATGGTCATGCGGCCTTTTGGATAACTCAAAAGTTGGATAGAGCAAAGAAAAATCTAATCCATTGGAGGAAACATCTTTTATTGATCCGGAAGTAAAAATAAACAATTTGGAAGCCAAAATCATTCAGGTTGAACAATTGAAAGATTACTCAAACATTCATAGCCTTTATAAAAAATTGGAAGAAACTACGTGGCAATTGAAAATCTTTTGGAGATAGAAATCTCACCACACTTGGCTACATTTAGGTGATAGAAATACTATTTTTTCCATAAAAATACTCTTTTTAGAAGGAAAATAAATTATATTGAAGGAATAATGGATGGCAATAATTAGTGGAAATCCTCTCATGAAGATATTGCAAAATTTTTTGTGGATTATTTCTCGGAGCTTTTCTCTTCCCAAGATACTCAAGAAATTGAAGACTTACCAAATTTATTTCCTTCAATTATTACTGAAAAGGATAATACTAGGCTTCTAAATATTCCATCTAAAGAAGAAGTTAAATCTATTCTTTTTAGTATTGGCAGTTTGAAATCTCCTAGTCCAAATGGAATGCCAGCCTTGGTTTTTAAGGAATGTTGGGATTTGATGGGGTCATAAATTGTACAAGTGGTTTAGCAATTTTTTAGGAATAAGAAAATGCTCAGAAGGTTGAACCATATTTTCATTTGTCTTATTCCTAAAAAGATTGATTGAATAAAAGTCTAA